AGTACTCTAGTACTGATTAAAAGAGGTGAATCCACATTGCTTTCTGGAACTAGTATTTTTTTTTTTTTCGTTTTTTGAAAAATATTGAAAATCATAAAATTTTGATAGCTTGAGGCGTGTTTATGATGATATTATCTTTAAAGATATTTTTATCAAGTTCTTCTATTATTAAAGATGGAGTCGAGCACTAACGAAGATTTATCTCAACAAAAATCCAACAACACAAATGAGAAGAAAAATACTACTTCCGTCTAACAATGATTGTTCATCATACTATTTTGGGATGTCCAACAATATTTATTCGGTTTATGAAATCAATAGATAATTTTACACTTAATTTCTAATTTATCCTTATCATTAATTATAGTCATTTCTCTTTTACAATTTTAAGACATTATATTTATTATATTCAAAGGTTGATCTAGTAAAATTATTCTTCTATTTATAATTTCTTAAGAAGTGTTTAAAGTCAATAATGAACAAGTATTATTGGACAGAGTGAGTAAGTACTTCTTTTGTATTTTCTTATTCCATAAGATGAACACAATTTACTATAGAGCAACACAAAACGTGTGCTATTAATTAATTGTCATATACACAAAATCAATTGTAATTAGTGTCATAAAAACTTTTGACCAAATGGCCGAAGTTAAGTTGGAAAAAAAGGTTTGACAATTCCAAATGTCCTTATTAGAAAATGCTTATTAAAACAATATAATATATATAATGAATGTCTTAATTGGTATCAAAATAATATTTTCTCTATTTCATATTAGTGAACTGTTGGACTTTTTTTCAATATGATTAGTATTACTTCCTCTGTTCTTAATTACTTATCCATTTTTCCTTTTTGATTGTTCCTAATTACTTGTCCATTTTGACAAATCAAGAAAGGACAATTTTTTTACATATTATACCCTCAATTAATTTACATAATTACTTGTCCATAGAACTTCTTGAAACTCTTAAGTTTTTAATTTATCTACTTCATAACTAATAAAGGTAAAATGATAAACTCACTATGTCATTACTTTCTTAATAGGTGTATCAATTCAAAAGTGGACAAGTAATTAGGAACATAAGAAATATTATTTTTGAGATAAAATAAATATTTTAAAAAACCCCTTTTTGCTTATTTTAATTGGTATACTATTGGATAATTACACATGTCTCCATGAAGTTTTTCCTTAGTTTCCAAATTACAACTACATATATAATCATGTTACATTTTAATTTTCTGCAAAAATTACTTAAATTTGCAAATAACTCCAGTCTCCAGCCATCTCTCTAATTAATTAATACCCCATTAGATAAACGTGTGTCAGTGTGCATGCAGTGAAAATATTTTTCAAAGTAATATTGGTCATTTTAAAGATCTCATTATTTTTTAATATTTTTTTCTATATAATGTACTTTTATGAAGTACAAAATAATCCAAATTTACCAAGGTCAATTAATAAAGCAGTGTTAGTTTCGTTTCACATCACATTAAAAAAGAAAACTTTTTACTGTTAGGATTAGGACAAACATAGTGAAGAATAATTTGTGTAATTATTGTTGCAACTTTAACTAAAAATCTCAGAGTTCAATTTTTGACAATAAAAAACATCCTCTTTCAAAGATTATTTATTCGTCAATGTAAATTCAAATTAGTCAGATCAGTAAATTTTGAACACCGAAAAAACTAAAGAGAGGTGGGGAGTGGGGACTAGCAAAATTTGTTTATTGGTTGGTACATTCAGTGCAAATGGGCATTGAGTTGAGGGTACAAAATTTACATTTACTGGCTACTCTGTACTTATATTATATCCACCTTTCATTTTGTGCCCATGTCGTCTTCTCTTTGTGTCTCTTTCCATTAGCAAATTTGTACATCTCACAAGCCCTATGACACTCTAAAAGTTTGAATATGTCTTTAACTGCTCCCCACCAGAGCAAAATAATTTTGTAAATATTCTCATTTTAATAATTCCTTTAATTGCCAAATAAATGAAAATAAAAAAAAATTCAACTTATATATGTTCTTGTCATATCGTTTGGAAGAGCAATCAATTCGATCAGAATTAATAGTGGAATGGAAGGCAATTGTTTATTGTGTTTTATCATCACACTATTTTGCTGTAGTTATCGACTTATTGTTTCCTTCTTATTAGACTTTACACTGTTTTTCTTATTAATGATTATGCCTTCTTCATTATTTTGTTCTTCTTTTACTTGAGTTTGATGTACTTGAGCCAATGATCTTTGAATGAAAACAATCTCTTTACCTCCACGAGGTAGTGATAAGATCTGTGTATATTTAATTAGTTAACGATACATATATTTAAGAATTTTCGTTTGAGCTATATTAATTAGTAAAAACGTTATACATTACATTATCAATACACAAATACATTATAATTTATTATTTTTCATGAATATTTCTGCGAAAATTATTTAAGAGATTAAGAAAAATTGTCACGTTGAAGATTTTTATTGATATTTACACCAATGTAGGTAAAATGTCATACAACTATAAGGCCATTGTGTCTGTACTTTCCACTTCTTTCACAATATATATTTCAGAGATACGTCCCTAAATAAACTAGTTGTTGGGAGGCCATCGTACGTTATTGTGGAAGACACAGAGTGTGGTGAGAAATTACAATTTATGTAAAAATTTAATATGATTATGACTATTTCAAATGGGGGTTTGTTGGGAATATTTAGGAGCTATTGTTAATCTACGGTAATGGATTACGCTGTTTTCAATAATTAAAAAAGAACTAGAGTTGTGATTTTCTAGATGTTGGAATTCAAATAGATAATTCATTGTGCAAACCTAACGAATCTATATGTCTTCTAAAGTCTCTCGATCCAATTAGAAGAATTTCACCTTAAATTTTTTGGCACTTGGGGTATGTGTTAATTTGTTTATCATCATAGGTCTCAAGTTAGCTTTCTATTACAAACTCAAGCTATTAAATAGGGGTTGCTATTCCCAATTTCCTTCTTTTGTGGAGCAAATTTAGAATTCAGACAAGTTTCAATTTTTGCAACCGTCAAAAATAAATCTTTACAAAAGAACCATTATTGCACAATGATCACACCTATATGCGAAAAATCCGTTAGTCTTATCATTATCCTATGTCCCACAATCCTAATTAAGTAATTATAGTGTTTAGCTACTCCATTACTTAATGCAAGAGCTAAGAAAATTGAATTAACTAAAGAACATTAAGATAAAAGAAAAACAATATAAATCTTGAATTAAAACTTAATACTTCTTGAATTAAAACTTACTACTTGCAAGAATGTACTTTGTAATTAGTGCAAAATAAAAAGAATAGAAAAGTAAGAACCCTAATAATGTTGTCTTCTTTCCATCTTTGGGACACCACACTTAAACAATTCACCCAAAAGTTCTATTTATAGTGATGATAGAAATAACCACTATTCTAGCTAGCTAGTTGGACTTGATCTTGGTTTGCAAAAAGATCTTCGATGAAACACTACTCTATAGTGCGCCCCTCATCGCGAAGTTTGAGATTCATCGCCTACACCTCTTCACAGAGTTTGAGCTCCGTGGCACACCATTTATCGCGGAGTTTGAGCTCTATGACGTGCTCTTTATTGCGGAGTTTGAGCTAATTAGTGGCGTGCCCTGCATCACAAAGATTGAGCTCTGTGGTGCACTGGTGCCCCTGCAGGGTTTTCACGTGATAACGGATAAGTAATCATAAAGGGGTGTCTTTTATCTCACGTCCGAGACATTTTTATCAACTAATTATTATTTCGATAATGTAATTCGTCATCCTTCAATATATTAAGAATATATTGACTCACAATAGAGTTTCACTAATAGATTAAAATAATAAATCAAATTACATATATCATAATAATTATATCAAGATTAAGAGTATAAGTACATGTAATTAATGGACTAGAGAATTTGTTTATAAATATACAGATAAAAAACGCCACATCTCAACTTGGTCCGTTCAATACATACAGAATGTACTAGTACAGGAAGTTGGAATATGACCATTCCAATAATTAAGATAAAATTATATTTAATCTCGTGCTGCAATCATCTTTTGAATTTTTGACCAAAATAAGCCATTGTTTAAATCAATTCACCAAAATAGTATGTTTTTAATTTTTTTTACGAAACTAGTATAAACGTAGTCCACAGTAACGTTTTATGCTTTATTTTATTTTAAAAAATTTAATGAAAAAAAGACGGACTGCTAACGGCGTTAAATAATAATACGTAACTGGGAATCACGTTTTAACTCTAATATGTTATTGGGAATAACGTTTTAAGGATATATCTTTTAATCCTATACTAGAATAAAACCCCCCAATTTAGTTGTACTAATTGCAGAAGAAAAAATGGGGAGATTCACGGAAGACCCAAAAAACCCGTCTTCTTTCTCCTAACCTACCTTCAGGTTGCAAAATAAACAAAAACCCATCTTGCTCTTACAGAATTGACGCTTAATCTTTACTTGATTTGAAACCCTTTTGTTCTATACAAAAGATTTGAGACTTTTGTTCGACTACTGAAGATTAGACACACTACAAGGGATTGGAGGTGAAACTTTCAAAAATTTGAAGGACGTCTGCAGATTTGCTTTAAAAAGGGTCTAAAACCTTTGAAAAAGAAGAATATTTTTGTGATTGAGGTAATTTTGTCATACACTGATAGAGTTTATCTTATAGTTGATGAATTTGTTGTTTCCCTTTTTGTTAAAAAATGACATTTTAGTTTCTGTTTTTCCCCTTTTTATGAGAATAAGAAATTATATGTACTTGAAACTATTTGAGTGATGATATTCAATTTCCTCAACAGTTGCGACTCTTATAGAAAAGCTTATATTTTAATTGATATGATTGAAAATGTTTGTGGTGAAGCATTTGAGGAAAGTTTCTAAGTTACGTTATACTTGAGTTTAATTTGCTTTGTTAGTTTGGCTCATTATTTTAAAAATAATTACTTCTGTATAGGTATTTCTTTTATGGCTGCCAATAATGCATACCAATTGGATCCCGGTCCACTTGATCCGTGTGTATTAATTGAACAGCTCACTCATAGGTCACGAGATATATGGATAGGAAATGATAATATGATTTTGAACACAAGGAAATGTGATGGGAAGTTTTGGGACCTTGTAAATGAACATCCCATCCATCCACGAGTTCTAGATGTGATTAAATTTTCCGAATTATATGGTATTTATAGATCTCATAGGCCTGTTATAGATCGTAGTTTAATCACTGCACTGGTTGAAAGATGGCGTCCTGAGACTCATACATTCCACTTTAGGACGGGTGAGGCTACGATCATCTTGCAGGACGTGGAGATATTGTATGGCTTACCCGTGAAAGGTAATCCGGTAGTTGGGTATGAGCCACAGAGGTCCGTAGTTGATTGGCAAAATATTTGTCAAAGATTATTAGGTTTTACTCCACACCCTCAAGACTTTAAACATAGTAGTCTCAAGGTCTCTGCGCTTAATGCACACTTGAGACTTCAGCCACGGTTGCCTGACTTGGCAACACATGATATGGTCAACGAGAAGGCTAGGTGTTATATGTTTTGGATGATTGCTGGTTTAATGTTGGCAGACACATCTGGCGGTCTTTTAAAGCTTATGTACTTGCATATGCTGGAAGATATCACTGTAGTAGGGTCTTACAGTTGGGGTAGTGCAACCCTAGCATACTTGTATCGCTTTCTTTGTAAAGCCTCCCAAAGTACCCAAAATGAGATTGCTGGATTCCTACCACTACTTCAGGTATACCTAATAATTACACTTAGTCTTTATTGAAATTTTATCTAGTTTATAATTATCTATTATGTTTAGATTTGGGCATGGGAATGAGTTACTGTCCTTAGGCCTCAGATTGTAGCACAAAGAGACACGATGAATATTTTCCCTGTTGGTTTACCTAGGGGTCCACATGCTGCTAGATGGTTTGCACATTTTAGTTGGACCGACACTACCAAGCATGTGCTAAGAGTTTTTAGGGATGCGCTTGATTCAATGACCGAAGATCAGGTAGGATATTGTATTAGTTTTCCCTTAACTTTCATGTATATTATAATTGTGAACTCTTTTTGTCTCATGTAGTTTATTTGGGAACCATATTCTGCTGACTTGATTGAGAGTCTTCTCGACTATTGCCGCGTTGGAAGAGATATATGGCGTGCTAGAGTTCCAATTTTTTGTTGGGATGTTGTGGAGGTTCATTTACCTGATCGAGTTATGAGGCAATTTGGATTGGTACAGGCGATACCATCTCCATTTCCATTTGACGCTACGCATTTTCACCATGATCGTCGAGGAAGACCAAACACAAATTGGGAGTTAGAGCATGCACAATGGTTGCATTTTTGGAACCATATTGACCAATATGTATGTAATGCACCAATCCTTCATGGATCACTTCGGTATGATGATCCCTACCTTATTTGGTTTAGACGTATTACTCGTTTTATCATTGGTAATCCTATTTCGAGTCCTCAACAACAACAAGGTTATGTGCCTAATGCGACGGCATACGAAACAATGGTAAGTTTGATAACTTAATTTTTCTTTACTTTAACTTGTCCAATTAGCATATTGAATTAGCAGAATTTGGTTCATTAGCATTCTATCAAAGTTTGTACTTTATATTTGTGGATTTGTGGATATGATTTGTCCAGGTAACATATATATCAAAGTTTTCCTCATCTGTTCTACTTGTACTTCATATTTGTGATTTGTGGATATGATTTCATTCTCTCCATGGTGTCCTAATTTACTGGTCTGCCACATTTTTTATGAAAATTGACTCAACATGTTAAAAATCTGATTCCCTCATTAATTTTGCGTGGTTTACAAACTTGGTCAACTTGGCTAGCTTGTTTCTTAATCTTTTCAGTACCCGATTCCCTCATAGAATTAATTATTTTGGCTAGGCACGTCATATTCATTTGATGGTTAATAAAGCAATATCACTCGGTGATAACCCATAAATGGAGGAATTTTACGGGTTTCGTGCAATGGTGCAGGATGAAGGATTTAATTGTTTGGCATATGTGCAAGAGGCAGATAGGATTCATGTGCAAGCCAATTATAGAAGAGACGAGCTAATGTCTGACCATTTGCATCCCCCTATTCGTCGGCGAGGAAAAGGTGGTGTTGCGTGTAGGAAGGTAAATGCTGTTGAGAGAGGTCGAGCGCCTATTGAAATGGGTGAAGATGATCAAGCCACACAAGATTTCCAAGCAGCCTCGGATTATGAACCAACAAACACTGAGATTATGCCATACATGACACCACAGACTTCACAAATTTCAAGGGATCCAAGTCTTACATCACTTGAAAATGTATTTGGTAGTAATCAACCTCAACATTTTGACAACACCCCGAACTTTTCCTCATCGCCTGTAGAAGGTAATGAGTTGAATGATTCTAACAATGAAATGGATGGTGATGAGTTGGAGGATGCAAACCAAGGTGCAAGCCAAGATGGTGAACCATCGGTGAAGAAAAAGCGTAAATTTTTTCCTAAGCTTTGTGGGACTGGTACTTTAAAATCTTCACATTATTCTTTGACATAAGTGTTCCTTTTTAGTTGAATAATTGAAAAAATGTTCTTACTTTTCAGGGAGTCATCATCTTAATCAGCACGGCCAAAAGAAAAAAATAAAAGATAACAAAGTTTCTGTGTTAACAAAGAAAAAAGGCAAAGGATGAATCATGTGGTTCCAAGTAAGCTTATAATTCTTAGTCTTTCAATTGTCGCATTCGTATCAGATTCTTTATGAACTCTTTCTAAATGGATTGACCTTTGGAGGTCATGTAAGTGAATGGACTTTAAATGTATTTTATGTTGAACAGTTGACCTGCTATATGTTATGTTTATGCTTATGTTTATGTTTATATCTATTGGCCTTTTGTATCCAGCACGTTAGGACTTATGTGGTACAATTTTCTCCATAAATGGGACTGAAACATTTAGTTAATTCAATAATGAAGTTACACCAGTTAAAGCTCTAATCAACATGGTTAATTTTTTTTTGTTATTTTTCTCTTGAGATGCATTACGTTAATCTCATAACGGTAATGGCTGAAAGGTTTTTCTTTCATTAGCTTCAATATTTAACAGTTTGAAATTCCTATTGCAGATTGGATATAGGAAGAAAAAGAAGATAACTTGGAGCTCATTTTTCATTCTTTTTATATGGATATTTACAGTTTTGCTCATTTTCATTCTTCTTATGTAAAAATTAACTCTAATTTTTGAAACTCCAGCAAAGAACTTCATTTTGGTGGTTAATCTTTTTTCACTTCATTTTAATGGTGTCAAGTATTGTAGCAATATAATAGAAAGATAGATATAAAAATTTAATTATTATTTGAATTACGTTACAGTAGCTAACTGAAAGAAAATTATCATAACTAGACATTGACCCACAATTGGAATTAACACAATTACACTAATACAAAACTATCCACTTAAACTTAATTACGATCTGGACATCGGCGCCTGTCATGTCCGGTTTGTCTACATAACAATCCACAAGCTCGCTCATATACAACAGCACCACGATCCATCTCATTAGGTATTCTAGTTGTCCTTGACAGATTGAGACGACGATAGAATTCATTACTTTCCATGCTAAAATTAGGAGATGGCTAACACGCCTCATGGCCAACTGGTGAGAAGGACCCAAAATATGTTGCAACATAATTCTCTACAGTGAAATGTTCACTAATAAAGTTTCTAGCTAGCCCTCCCATTCTATCAGTGACCTTCATGACATGTGAACATGGAAAATGCAAATTAACCCATTTTTCACAATCACATTTCTTTCATTAAGTGAAACACAATGAGGATTACCACCATTACCATCAACCTATATAGATCTAACCTCATATACCTCTGTGGGTATATTCCAATAAAAAACAAAGTGCCTTTTTGAACTTTCATAGTTCTTTTCCCACTTCATTTTGAACCTTTCGGTCCACAATTCATCTTGTTCTAAAAGTTGTTGCGCTTTTTGAGACCTACGAGTGTATCGTTCAACAGTTTGCTCTAATGAAAGTCTAACCATAGCAGTGACTGGCAAGCCTCGTGCTTTTTTCAACACTCCATTGAACGACTCTGAAAGATTTGTTGTCAACACTCCCCATATTTTTCCACCATCATGGCTAACAGTCCATTTGTCCAAGGGGATTTCCATAAGATATTCATATGCTTCTTCATTTTCTTCTCTAATTTGCCAAATCAAGGATTCAAATTTTCTTACTTGATGGGCTGAAGCAGCCCTCCACATCAATCTGCTGAGGTCTTTGTTTGGAAATTTAGATTGAAAGTTGCTCTTTAGATGCCTTATGCAAAATCGATGGAAGGTTCGAGGCTCTTGAAATCGCCGCAACTCCTGCAAACTAGTCAAGATTCCTTTTGCCCTATCAGATATAACACAAATATCTTCTCTATGTTTTATCACATATGCACCTAAATTCCTAAAAAACCATTTCCAGGCCTCTTTCGATTCTTTGTCTACAATAGCAAACGCTAGAGGAAGAATGTTATCATTTCCATCAATTCCAACAGCAATCAATAATTTGATATCATATTTTCCATACATATGAGTTCCATCTACTGAAATAACAGGACGACATGTTCGAAATCCATCAATGCATGACTTGAAAGCCCAAAACACAAATTTAAAAGTTTTTACCTCTAATGAACTAATAGACTCTTCGTGTTTCCATTCCACAACTGTTCCATGGTTAAAGTGTTGAAAAGCTGCAAAAAATTTGGGTAGGTCACTAAATGATTTCTTAAAGTCACCATACACCAATTCAAACGCGCGTTGACGTCCAAGCCACGCTTTTCTATATGTTATTTGATGACCAAATTTTTCGTGAACCTTGGAAATGACATCTACCACCAAAACCTTAGGATTTTTTTGAATTTGATTTAGAATCAAAGATGCAATTAAATTGGTATTTAGGTTGGCATGACCACTAGAAAGCCCCTCAGTCTCACATCTATGATTTTCAATATATTTTCCTATTTTCCAAAGGTTATCTCCAACCTTTCGTCCTCGGAGAAACCACAAGCAACCCAATAAAGTATGAAACTTGCATCTTACAACCCATAAACTCTTGTTTGATGTCACCACCTTGAACTCTTTATTTGTTTTCAAACTCCAAATTGTCACAACTCGTTTTAATTTTTCTTTACTACTAAAAAACATACCTTTTTTCGAATCTTTTGTGGCATCTTCAGACCAGACCGAACAATACTCCATCTCAGATTCACATGTAGACATGAAAACGTCTTCCTCATTATCCAATGTTCTAAAATAGGGTACATCATGATTTTGCACTTCAGACACATCTCGTTCAAATTGATTAGGAAGATTTATACCAATGTCATTTTGAGAAAAATCTCTAGCATCATTGATATCTTCATCAGATTCACTTTTACCATCATCTTTTGAAGGTTCATCTTCTTCCGAACTTTCTTCACTAATTTCAGCATTTACATCACTATATGGATCAACGTTGGACTCATTTTCTCTGTGGAAAAAGAAATTTAATTAAATTCTAGAAAATTATGAGACATAGAAGCTTGTTTTAAAATCAGTAATTTATACTCTAAAAGGTTATTTCTTAAAAAAAATTAAGGTAATTAATCACAAAAAATATCACTATCTATCTATGTATGTATATTTATAATGTGTAAAATTATGTTATCAACTAATTATCTTAAAATTCAATAAAACATAAATTTGTTGTTTTACCTGCCCTCATATTCCCTCGGGCTATTGTCAACATGTCTTTGGCTACTTGAACCTTCACCAAATGATCGTTGGTCACGCATTAACAATTGTTGGAATGGTGGTTGAGCAATCGGTTCTGCATAATGAGGTTGACTAACCGTGACAAATCCATGATTTTGAGCCAATAAATTCATGTGATAACCATGCTGACCACTAAATTTGAAATATATCATTTTGATTTGTTGATTTGGTCTTTACATACATTTTTCAAAACATTTATGTCAATCTTATCCGCAAAGTTTTGAGGTATAAAAAAAAAATTGTAGCAAAGATTGATCATCCTCAATTTTAAACTCAATGAACCTTGTATGGTTACCTTGAATCGAACAAGGATATTTTTCCGAAATATCCATTTAAATATTTTCACTAGTTGTACCCATTTTCTCATGCAATAATTCAACCAATTCAACATACTTCATTGAAGTATACATGCTAATAATCATTCTAGCACATTCAGTATACCTGAATTCATTCATTTCAGTAATTATTTCGCCACCCCAATACAAAGCAACTATCACATTATGTTCAAAATTCGCCATTTTTATTCCTACACATAAAAATAAGTCATCTTTTTAATTAATAAATCAGAAAAATAATTTGAAAGCTATGGTAAAATAATAACATAATATGATATATTGACTTGACTTATTTAATTCATACCTTTGTGAATATTGTTTCAAAATTGGGCTACACAAACAAAAGTTTGACTAAATATTGTTGGAATGTGTTCTGTTACAACAAGGTTTATTTTATAACCATATGTGTGGTCAGTTTAAAAAATGAAAAAAGTTGACTTTAACATAGTGTCGTAATTGATAATCACGATTTAATGTAAAAACGTGATCTATAGTAACGTTTTATGATTTGTATAGCAGGATTTGATTCTTAATTTGCAGAATTTGATGGCCCGTGATTAAATCTACATAAAACGTTACTGGCAGTCACGTTTTATATATAAAACGAGACTGCCAGTAACGTTTTATAATCTGTAAAATTTGCAGGATTCGATTCTTCAATTGCAGAGCCCGTGACTCTGAGCTTTAGCTGTAAAACGTGATCTACAGTAACAAAATATAAAATGTTACTTAGCTCTAAAACGTTACTTTGAGTAACGTTTTAGCTCTAAAACATGATTCAAGATAACGAAGTATAAAACGTTATTGACAATAACGTTTTATTTCTGTTTACTCCGTGAACTTTGC